CGACGCGCAGGCGCGCAAATGTCTCTCCCTCGCGCTTGTCTTGGACCTCGTATGTGAAGTGGTACGGACGGTTGATGATCAGATTTGTTGGGAATGAGCCATACTTGCCCAGTGAGATTGTCCTGTCGCAAGTTAGTCGTGCAGGGAGGGAGTGGGAAAATGACGATTGGCTTACGTATTTGGCACGACCTGTAGTACGCGATATGTCTCGTTGGGGAGCCGTAGGGCTACCCACGAATTGGGCTGTACCGTCTCCTTGTCCATTGCGTTTGTTGGAGCGAGTATGATTTGCGATTCTTGGAAAGAAGAAAAAACTAAGGTAAGCCAGCCTCACCTCGGTGAGCCCCGCCACGGCCCCCACACTCCGATCTTCACCGAGATCGCGGGAGCAAGGGTACTTCGTCTAAGTAATGAAAAGATTCAGGTAAGTTTCGTATATCTAGAGCCTTTTGGCCAGTTCATTTTATTCTCACGAGAAACTTATGGAATGGAAATTCACGTTCAATGACACTTGTTTTGAAAATACGCACTGGATTGAAGGTACTGATTAGCGTGAAACTGTAAGGCATGTACTGAAGCAGCTGCATGTGTTGCAACCATCAAAAATCACAAGTTTTTCATCTGTTGATGGGTTTCTTCTACAAAAGATTTACTCCGCAGTGCTAAAGACTCGCTAGTCCACAGGGAACCAATGACAACTTGCAAAACTCAAACCAACCTCTCATATTCGGTGTAAGTCGACGTCGCAAACGACCCAAGGTCTATCCTTTCATGTGCTCAAAACTTCTCGTGGCTTCATACTCAAAGTGAAAATCTGATTTCAATATCCGCTCACGCAATTCGGTCGTCATGGGCGTTCCGTTCGTTCGTGGCAGACCCAGAGTGTCCGCCAAGAAGAGAGGCGAAATAGTTGCAGATACCGTACCAGGCATAGAGGACCATGCTCATGCTTCCGAAAAGAAATAGAGGCACAAGAGTGTAGGTCGCAAGATCTGTGAAATCAGTTAGTATATATTTCAAATAGGGAGGCATGGGGGAATACTTACAGACAAAGCCGCCGGAGCGCTTGACAATGTTGTACAACTCGTTTCGCATGATGTTCTCCGCGCCATGCTCCCACTTCCAGGGACCAACCATTCGGAACTTAGTGTTGAAGTTGGATCCCATGGCCCAGGTGTAGAAAACCTTCCAGCCCTTCTTCATAACCGAACGGGCCTTGGGTGCGGAACCAATGTCGAGAGCGATCTGGTAAGCATAGCTCTCATGGTCAACAGCTCGCTTGGTTTCGTAGAAACTGTAGTTGCCTCGGGGGTGAAGACGATAGTCAAGGTCATAAGACTCAAGAGCATTTGTGTCTCGGATAGCAGGTACCTCCTTAGGGTACTGGTGTTGGAGCAGGTGAAGAACCCAAAGCTGAGCCTGAAGCTCGGCAAGGGGTGGGATGGCTCCAATAGAAGGACGGACAAATCCAATGTAGCCAAGAGTCACATCTTCTTCTTTGTAGATCTCTCGAATGTTGGTCTGAGCGACAGTTGGGTAGTCGTTGTCCAAGAAAGGGAAATCTCGAGTGTAGCCAGTTGCAAAGACCAAGACATCGGGCTTCAGCTGCTCCTTCGGGAGGGTCGAGTCACTCGGAAGCTTTTTGTCGAACTGCATGTTGCCATCTCGGTCAATGCTGGTAGGCCAAGTCATCACATCAATCTTCTTGCCCTTAGTGTCTTCAATCTTGACATTCATGAAGAAAGATCGGATACGGTTGCCCAAGGACTGGGATCGTTTGCCGACGCTCATATAAGGTAGAGCCTTGTCGGACTTGCAGAGGAGGACTATTAATATGTTAGCCGATGTGTCTATAGATTGTGGAAAAGGGGGATACTTACTTGAATCCATGTACTTGCGGTCAGGGCTCATCTGGCCAACCCACTGATCAGGACCCTCTTCGGTGCCTGAGATGAACTTATGCATATTTTTAATCCAGCTGTCGTAGTAAGTCCAGAGAAGCTGGCTCTTCTGAAGCTTTGGATGCGCGTAGGCTGTGTCAAACAGGCTGGCGACAGAGGTGTCGACAGGCTTATTGGCAGTGGGGGTGGAACGTCCCAAGGCTTGAGGGATAGGGATGATCTATAAACTGTTAGCTTATTCTTACAATTATAGTGTGATAACATACCTTGGGTGCACAAAAGAAGCCATCGCGATGACAGAGTGTCACAGTCTTTGCGCCAGAAGTGACAGCGAGGTACGCAAGATCCATGCCAGTCTCGCCAGCACCCATGATGTACACATTCGTGTTTTCACCAAACTGATCTCGAGACTTGAGACGGGATGAGTGAAGGACCTTGGGAACTCGTTCGATGCCCTCGATATTGGGCATGACTGGGTTGACGTTGATTCCACTGCAGATAGCAACGGCATCGCACTCCCAATCAAAGGCACCTCGCTTGTTGCGCAGAGAGATGACATGATCAGTGTCGTTAGGTCCACGACGGACTTTCTCAACCTTTGTGTTACACTCGATCTTAGGCCAGAGGTCGAAGTTGGTGGCGTAGTCTTTGAGATACTGAACGTAGACTTCAGGGGTAACGAAGTCAGGGGCATCGTCTGGGAGACGAAAGTCGGAGAAAGCAGTGAGATACTTTGAAGAGACGAGCTATGATATGATTAGCATATGTTTTCATTGAAGGAAATGGTTGATAACTTACCTCAGCGTCTTCGTAGACGCGGTAGGAGAAAGTGCCGCCGATCTGGGACTCAGCTTCAAAGAGTCGGACCTCGATAGGGGGAATGGGGAAGTACTCATGGGCATGAGCGAGAAATCGAAGGGTAGCTAGTCCAGCTGGACCACCGCCGATGACAGCTACCTTCATGGTGACTTGCCTTGTGAGGTAGAAATGATACAAAAGAGTTGTGAGAAGGTTATGGTTGATAGAAAGTGAGATGGTGATGATCAACAATGAGATTTTGTCCTGGGTGTTGATGTAAGATGAAGAGACGGATGAAAGGGAGTTTCAGAAAGAGGATGATAATAAAACCATGGAAGAGTAAATATACTACAAACGATGTTCCTGGTGAATCAGGCTGGACGTTGCCACTGCCAGTGTCAAATGGAGGGTGCTAGTACACAGCGACATGTTCACTCTGGAGTGGATTTGAACAGTATGCGAGTCAAATCCACTGGTACATTTCAATACTATTCATTATTGAAGGGCATTTAATTAAATCAATCGATTTACTATATATTACAGACATTGGAATAGTGACAGGGCGAAAAGTGAGGGCATCGCGAGTTTCGTGTGGTAGCAAGTTCTATGGCTTGAAAAGCCCTGCGGCTGGATAGTTTACGATAGACATTTCATGGCACACAACTTTTTAACAGTCTCTCTGAATGTTCACCGTCAAAGCCTTGTGTTCAAAACGTTTCCATTGTTCATATATCTGGTGACTGAACATCCCATTGCAGTTCATTCAACTGTAATCATGGGTGCTCACTCCCGCATAACGTTACACGCCAACTTTTGCGAACACTCGTACACAGGTAGTCATCGCTCGCAATTCTTCTACTGTCTCTCACGTAAATTTCGAATACGTTTGCTGACATAGAACCCAGAGCATTACTTGTGAGTGTTACCTACTCCCTCCTGGATGAGGCCACCTACGAAGGGAACCCATGACCACCACCTGGGACTTCCCTGATCATTGTTCTTTGCAGCTATTGCCTCATTGTTTACTTTGAGTCCGCAAGAATTGACAAAGACCCCGTGGGGAAAACAATGGATCGTCGATTTGTCGTCAAACTCAATAATAAAAAGCCTCGGCACTCGTTCAAGCTTAAAGCTTATCGCGAACCCGCAGGATGCTTAAATTTCGTATTCCATCGTCTGATCCTTCGTTTTATGTAACATTTTCTGTCATTTCTAGACCAAGGAATCGTTAGGTTATCTCCGTTCCTGCATGCTGCCCTTGTTTCGACCTATCGAAATTTCCCAACGGAGTGAGTACTCCTCAATTTGAGCCTCAGGAACCAACGCCAAAAGTCCTTCGATATCATCGACAACTTCTTTCTTCAGCATCGTCAAACAACTATTGGGCTTCTTTTCCCGCAAGACGATATGCATCCTGCAGCCAACTTTGGAGCCGGACCGACCTCGTTATTTGACTACGACCTATCATCGTCAATTACGCAAATGTGCTCAACATAGCCTCGAGATCACCTCATGTTGCATTGTCACATGCAATCTTCGATCGAGTTACGTGACCAGCGAACCATGGAACTCATACGCGCATTCACGAAGAGACGGAAACTGGGACTGGGACTGGGATGAGAGCCTAGGGGATTGATACTGTTTCTGAGCAACCCGGAGGCCATACGATGTGGAACTCGTCGAATGGCGCGATGGATATTCACCAACATCTTAGCCATGTGCCACACAAGTCTCATTCTCCTCGACAATGAGCTCCTAGGTCAAACTGCTGTAGTATCGTCCCAACGTCTAGTTGAAGCAGAAAGGTCACTAAAGGAACTGTTTTTGTGTCTCAATTTCTATCATGGTGTTCATTCACGGCCATGACAATTCAGTGAGTCAACCTGAGCAGTGTAATCCGAAGCAACTCATGAAAACCATTAGAGGTACTTCATGGCCTTGCTTCATTCAACAGCTTGGATAAACATCAGGAACGGTTTGTTGTTGAAGCCCTTCTCCTCACCCTTACTTTCATTGGCGACGTTTCTGGGGCGTCGTGGATCCACAAAGCCTTCTTCGATGCAATATCTCCTCATTCTGAAGCTTGACATACTTCTCACCGAAGCCTCAAAACTTTGGATATCGCCATGAATACGGCGTCATCATGTTTCCAACCTCCTCCTTACACATGTGATATTCAGCAATTGAGATGAGTCTAAGTACAAAAGAGTTGGAGGATCTCTAAGGATGAGTCTCATCAAACCGATCAAGTTCTCACCTCATTCGTTACCCTCTCATTTCTGCACTCTGTTCGAGTAAGAGATGAGAACGTCCCTCTTTTACGCCCTCAACGGGGCCCTCGGGGTGGTCGCCCACGAGTCGCTTGCCCATTTCAAGATTGAATCCGGTAAAGAAGAGCATCGCTCTCTTGAAGGATGCTCAAAGGATGGCAAGTACAAGTGGGTTCCCGACCCTGCGACATTTGTCTTTCCTGAGAACGACTACAAGCCCGGCAACTCCTGGGACCTCTGTGTCGGCACATCTCATTGCGCCCCCCACGAGGCCTTGACTCAGGTTTCCTTCGATTTCAAGGACAACGGCATCGTCTTCAACTTCAAGCATATCGACCACTACAAGTACGAAGATGTAGCCGTCTACATCGAGCGTGGTCAGCCTCCCACAGAGGACTCTTTCAAGTACAACAAGAAGAGCGACCACTGCAAGGCCAAGAACGACTACAAGGAGGCCAAGTGCTTGGTTCCCTTCTTCTCCCTTTCGGATGGCGGCTCTTACGGCGATCTCTGTCCCCTCGAGGACAACGGAGGCTGGAGACTTTACATCAAGGTCAAGGCCACCGTTTCCCACGGGAACAAGAAATACGAGCTCTACAGCCGCTCTCCCGATATCAACGAGAAGTACTTCGTTGTCAGCTACACCTGCGCTGAGTGCAAGGAGTAAGTCGACCCGTTAATCAGCATGTCTCACCTCACCTAACATCAAGCAGGTACAAGCACAAGAAGATCGAGTTGATTGAGGAGAAGGAAGAAGCAGAGGCCGAAGCCGAAGAATCTGAAGAAGAAAAGGAGTACAAGAAGAAGAAGGAAGAGGCTGAGGAAGAGGCCGAGGAGGCAAAGAAGAAGTACAAGAAGAAGAAGGAGGAGGAAGAAGCTGAGGCTGAGGCTGAAGAAGAAAAAGAGAAGAAGAAGAAGAAGAAGGAAGAGGAGGAAGCCGAGGCTGAGGCTGAGGAACAGGAAAAGAAGAAGAAATACAAGAAGGAGGAAGAGGAGGAGGCTGAAGCCGAAGAGGAGGAAGAGAAGTACTACCCCCGCTTTATCCTTTCATTTCCCCAGTACTCATACAGCTGCAGGCACAAGGAGCATCACCATGAGCATTACCATAAGCATCACCATAACCATGGTCACAACCATGCTCATCGTCATGGACACAGACACGGTCACCTCCACGGTCATCTTCACAAGGAGCATCACCATCATGATCACCGCCATAAGAACCATCATCATGACCCTCATCATAAGCATCATGCCCGTTCTTATGATCATCATGACCACCATAAGCACCACGATCCTGGACATTACCATCATGACCACCACGATGGTCACAGGCATCACGATCCCGGTCATCACCACGGTCATCACGGTCACCACGATGGCCATGATCACTACAAGCTCCATCACTACTATGATCCCAACAGCCACCGCGACTTCAATGCTTTCTTGGACGACTACTTTAAGCACTTCGGTTATCACTACCACCACGCTGATCCCGGTCATCACCATGGGCATCACGGTCATCATGACGCTCATCATCATGGTCACCACGATGGTCACCACCACCGTGATCCTTACAAGCATCTCTATGGCGAGCATCATGATGGAAACCACCATTATGAGCACCACGATGGAAAGCATCACCACAATGAGCATCACAAGCATCATCATGTTGAGCACCACAACCATCACCACGGTCACAACGAGCACCACAACCATCATCACGGTCACAAGCATCACCACGGTGAGCACCATGATGGATATAACCACCACCATGCTCGCGGCTTGCTCGAGGAAAACAGAGAGAAGCACCATGGACATAAGCACCACCACGGACATCATCATGGACACAACCACAGCCACGCTCATGACCATGTTCACAAGCACCGTCATAAGCACTTTGACGACCATGTCCACTACAATGAGCACCATGTTTACTACGACTATAAGGACGATGGCCACCACGACGGTCGCCACCATGGGTATGATCATCACGATCCTCAAAAGCACCATTATGATCATCATGATGGCCACCACGGTCACCACGGTCATCACCACCATGATCCTCATAAGCATCACTACAGCCATGAGTACGACTACGGCCACTACAAGCGATCTGAGCACAAGGATCCAGTTACCATCTACTACAAGGAAAAGTCCGATCACTCTCGCACTCACATTGATGCTTCCAAGAAGGAAAAGGCATCCAAGAGTGAGCTCGAGGCCGAGAAGCACAAGAAGCTTTTGGAAGAGGCCAGCAAGGACGAGTACAAGCACAAGCACAAGGGCGATCCTGAGCACAAGTATCACTCCGAAGAGGATAAGTACAAGCATGAGAAAGAGCACGGGCACAAGTACAAGTACGGACCCAAGTATGAGCACGAGCATGAGCATGATAAGAGGTCTGCTTCCGAGCATGGTGATTACAAGTCCAAGGAGGAGGTCAAAGAGGTTCTGAAGGGACACTTCCAAGAGGCCCTCAACAAGTTCTACCATGCTTACTTTGCAAATAAGGAGCACAAGCACTATGAGCACGAGAAGCCTGAGGAGAAGTACGACTCTGGTCACTACAAGCACAAGGAGTATAAGCATGAGGAACCTGAAAAGGAACACCACTCTGGTCACCATGAGCACAAGGAGTACGAACCTAAGCACTACGAGCATAAGGAGCATGAGCCTAAGGAAGAGCACAAGGAGCACCACTACAAGCACCCAAAGGAACATGAGCATGAGCACGAGCATGAGCCCAAGAAGTATCATCATGATGAGAATGAGGAACATGAAGAACATGAGGACAAGCCTGAAAAGAAGCATCACTACGACCATGAGCAGAAGGAGCATGAACACGAGCCCACCACCGAGTTCGAGAAGTCCTCTCACTATTCCACCAAGAAGGCGAGCTTGGAGAGTGAGAAGGAAAAGGCCAAGCACGAGGCTTTGGAGAAGCTTTGGGATGCCCGCATCACCCATGAGCGCAAGTTCAAAGAGAAGCTTTTCTTCCTTGAAGTCGGCCACTGGGGTAAGAAGGGCGCCCACAAGCGCTCTCTTGAGTCCAAGCCTAGCGAGGCTACTGAGATTGAAGTCAACAGTGCCAAGGTCGAAGAGTACATTGAGGAAGCTGAGGACGAAATCTTGGGGAAAATCGAGAAGGCCATCCGCACAGCTATTAAGAAGACCGGGCCGAACCCTAGCATTGAAGCTATCGTCGAGTTCCTCCAAAAGGTTGAGGAGGTCATCGAGAAAGCCATCGCAAAGAACTTCCACAAGATCGTCCGCCGCATCGTCAAGATTGAAGGTGTTGCAGAGCCTGATGAAGATCTCATTTATGATACCCTTACTATTGCTATCCAGGATATCGTCAAGGTTGCCGACAAGATCTTCGTCAAGGCCATCAAGGATCTGGGCGATAGCCCTTCAGATGAGGAGGTCGAACACGCCATCAAGACGGTTCTGAAGCTTCTCGATGAGGTCATCGACAAAGAAGTCCGCAAGGCCCTCATAATCATCTTCAAGTTGGAGGAGGAGACCGCTGAGACTACTGAATCCACCGAGCATGGTAAGCACGATAAGCGCTCCGATCCCTATGACGACACCACGGTCGAGAAGGCTGTTGAGAAGACCGTTGAGAAATGGGCTGCTAAGTACGTCGAGGAAGATGAGAAGAAGCACAAGCCCCTGAAGCGCTCCGTGAGATTCGCCCGACTCTACAACTGATGCGCTCCCAAACGAGGCCAAGGCCATCCAAGCATGAGATTGAATACCACAATCTGAAGGCCAGTGTCACTGGACACAAGAGAACCACTTGACCTGGGTACATAATAAGGATACAGTACTTGGTGCCGTGTCTAGTTGACAGGTTGAGGAGGGATTAGGTACATTGTTTCATCATTTAAGATAGCCATTCCTTTAATAAAAGTAACCTGTCTCTTTCTTATATGAGCTGCGCGCAGTTAAGATGTGACGATGCTTCAGAAAGCCCCTTTACGGAGCAAAAAAACCTCCAACCTTAGGTCAAAGTGCTAAAGGCAGGCTGATGTATAGACCTACTAAAATTATACTTATCTTTCCTCAATTTACCTAAGTCTTTTTGTCATGGGAGACAGGTCCCAAGTTTTACCTCTCCTAGAAGTCGCATGTGCAAGCTTATGTGTTCAATTTGGAATCATAAAATTGGTATATTCTGTATCTTATTCCCAAACGCCATTCAACATAAAATCATAACAGTTCTATCGCAATCTTTTCTCTAGTTCCAGTTAGGAGCATATGTGATGAAAGCCATCAAGCAGCCTGAGATCAGACCAGCTGTAGGAACAGTGATGAACCATCCAAGATAGATCCATCCAACCATGCGCCAGTTGATAGAACGCCAATCTCCGTTGCAGAGACCGACTCCGACAATGGCGCCAGTGATACATTGAGTAGTAGACACAGGCAGCTCTGCAAGACTTGTTAGTGCATGCTGTTGAAATGTGTCTGTGGATTAACTTACTAAGACGAGTGGCCAGGATGACAGTGATAACAGAGCCGAGTTCCATGGAGAAGCCACGAGCAGGAGACATAAGTGTCACACGGTTACCTAAGTTTCGCATGATATTGTAACCGTATGTCCAAAGACCAATGACAATGCCAGCACCACCGAAGGCGAGAATCCAAATGGGAACTTGAGCCTTACTTCCGGGGACTGCGCCGGACTGCCAGATCTGGTAGATAGAGGCGTAAGGGCCAACAGCATTGGCAACATCGTTGGCGCCGTGGACGAAAGACGCAGAGGCAGCAGTCATGACTTGGAGGAAAGTGTACAGGAATTCAGTACGGTTATCGAAATGTTCAGCACGAGCGTGAATCTCTTCAACATCGCCGGCAACAACAGACTTCTCGCTCTGGGAGCTGACAATGTCCTTATCGACACCGTGGAGAATGGCAAACTTGAAAGCCCACCACATGAAAGCACCGGTATACCAAGGGGCATCAGGCTTGGGTCCGACCATGGACTTGTGCTGGTGAGGGTTGACGGCAGGTTCCTCGGCAGCTTGTTCAGTGACAACTTTCTTGTCATTGCCAGCGGCCTCGAGATCTTCACCAAGGGCAGCAGCACGCTGAGTGCGGCGCTCCTCAAGTTCCTCGCGGGTAAGATGGCCTTCGTAAAAGTTGCGGACGACGCCCTGGAAGTTGTCGGGGGTGGGAGGGACAGGACCACGGCGGAGGAGGAGAGGGCCCAGGAAGATGTGGTAAGCCTTGAGCTGCCAATCCTCCTTGATGACGATACGGTACAACCAGGGGACGAGGAAAATGGCCATGAGAAGACCCCAGCCAGCACCAGCGGCGACAATCACACCGGGGATTTGCTCCTCAGTAAGGTTGACCTCATAAGAGCCACCCTTCCAGATGAGAAGCATGACAATGAGTGAGGCAGTGGCCCAGAAGTAGAAGGGGACGAGGATAAGACCCTTGATAGCAGGGCTCTTGCGGAGGAGGACGCAGTATTTTGTGAAGAGGAAGATGCTGGCACCGAAGATGCCAGAAAGCATAGGGGCGATAATCCAGGCGAGGAATACCTGCGAGTTATGAGTTAGTGAATATGGGTGTGAGATGGTGGTTGAGTACTAACCTGAACAACACCTTGCTGAATATCAAGAGAGCCGTCCTCCTTGTAGCCAACCCAAGTAATACCAGAGCCGCCAAGGGCACCAACACCCATACCCAAAACACCACCAAGGATAGAATGGGTAGTAGACACAGGGAAGCCAAAACGGGTAGCAAACGTGAGATAACTAGCAGAAGCAACAACTGCGCAGACCATGCCCAGCATAAGAAGAGCAGGGCTATCGTCAAAGGCCTCGACATCAACAATCTTTGTTCGGATGGTATCAGCCACACGGCCACCAACACCAAGAGCACCAGTGAACTCCATGATACTGGCACCGATCATAGCCTGGAAGTAGCTAATAGATCGGGAAGACACCGATGAAGCCCATGAGTTGGCGACATCGTTGGCACCGATGTTCCAGGCATCGAGGAAGGCAAAGATAGTGCCTACCGCGAAGAGGTAGTCGTACTGAGCGAAGACTGCCATTTCAGCGGTGCAGTACGAGTAGAAAGAAGAGGTTCAGAAGGAAAGGGAGGATGTGTGAGGGATCTGGAGACTTCAGCTTCTACGAGACATTTCCGTAGTATATATAAGTTTTTTCCAGCTGGTGGAGAAGAAAAGAAAGAATTGTTCTACGTGGGCCATGGAGTTACTGACACGCCCCCCAAGAGAAGAGCCAAGACAAGACATCGCCAAGACGATTCCACCGAAGAAAAGGACCTCGAGCTAGGATTAACATCAAACATCCCGGGCTTGCCACAGAAATTCTTGTACGCCAAGAGTCAGATCAACAGAGTGCGAGTGTGACTGCGTAACACAGAACAGGGCTGGAACATGCACGAACCGGCTCTACAGCAAGCAATTGGCTTCTCTGAACGGTAGCAACACATCCGGGAGGCGTTGAAGAAACTGGAGACCCTCTCCACTTGAAGAACTAAGCTTACCTTAAGCTTGTGACTAACTTTGTTTCCAGTGCTAAAACGTCTCAGGCTGTAACTGGCGATCGCGGGAAAGGCAAGAGTGATGGTTTTGGGAAATAGAGCACGCGACACATGAGCTGAGAGGGGAATACGATGGGTTTGAGGTGGGAGAGGAGTGAGCATGCGACATGATTCCTAATGCGTCACCGACGTCTGAGATGGTGATGCAGATGGCTAATGCTGGGGGCATGTATGCCAAGCTGTAGGCGAGCCATGGCTTGACGAATCCTGGAGGGGAAACGAGCTGGAGAGCTTGTGACGATCGAGAGAGATGGCGAAGGTTGAGCTTGAAAGGGTTTCTGAACTCAATTGCTCGAACTCAGCTGCTAAGTTGTTCCTCTGTAGACAGGCTCTTCACAGTTCCCTTGAAAGAGCCCAATGCTTCTTGGTTTCTTAACCGTCGAACTCGACGAGCCTCAGCTTCTGAGTAGAGGAGCCCTCGTGTGCTTGAAGCACAGACACGCGACTCGATACTCTTTTCAGGCAAAACCTCCAAAGCTCGAAACACGCAACGAAAAAGCGACCAATCAAACAGGCACCATGCGTTCAAAAGTCGTCGGTGCACTAAACGAGAAATGCTGTAGGCAGGGATCATGATAGACGGACCCTCAACTTTATCGTGGATAAAGCCAAGGAGCTTGTTCCTTTTTGTGCTAGATCTGCGGGTATTGTCCGAACCAAGCTTTCAACGCGGCGAATGAGAAGAAAGGATCTCTACACGTGTGAGACGTCAATGCAAGATTGGCTACTGGGGCTGCATTATGATGGTCAATGTTTTTATGGTGGAGAGAGAGGGAGAGGCAAGGAGAGGATATTCTCGGATGATTCTATCGGTATCCGAAAAGAGTATATCCCACGCAGAGATATGGTCTGTGAGGTGGCTTTTGAAACAATTGCCATGGGGACTCGTTCTCAAGTGTCACCGAGGCAATAAGACATTACTCTTGGCGTAAAGCCGGGACGTGGGATTTCCGTCGTCGATGATGGCTATGATATTGATTCCAGGCTGTTCCTTGCCACGACGAATGTAAATCAGTGCTCAGAGAGACGTTGCTTCTGACCCACTCGTGATCTTCACGGAGTTGAGGCGAGTCTATATGGAGCACTGGCTGCTTCACAAGCAGAGCACAACGCTATGAAGAGCCTATCTCACACAAATTTTGCTGAGGTTGAATAACGATTTGGTAAAAAACTGAATGTTTATGGTCATATGAAACCGGGAAATAATAAGGTTAGAATTAAGGTATCGGCAGTTAACGTCCCGGTTGAGATACAGGGTAGGATCTCGGGATTTTGAGTTGATGATAAAAATAAACGTGAAACGGTTACTACACGCGGGAAAGCTTCGACCTCTTGCTGATGATCTTATAGTTTCTGAAACGGTAACTCAATGCTTGACTGTACGTGTTTCTTGTAGCTGATATATCACTGCGTGTTCTGTTTCATCGAAACGAAGCGAGTATGTCACTGCAGGGATAGTTGCAACAGATACTCACAACTGGAAGTATTGGATATGAGAGCATGTGAGGTCACTGACTGAGCGACCAAGTCTCATGATTCAGCAGTCAGACTCTCTTTTTGGCGTTTGGTCTCCATGCTAGATATCTAGACAGCAAGAATATACTTGAACAATGAGGCTTTTATCGGCCACGTGACAGCTTGCCGCTTCGGGAGTTACACAATCTGTCTCTAATTGGCTCGGCTAGATACCCCACAACTGCCCCACGGAAAATTTTTAGCCCATCCACCAAGACCTAGCATCACGAAACATGAATTCTGCTACCACAAGACTCTTCAACGAACTACAAGCGTAATTGGTTTAGTGGTAAAATTCTCCGTTGCCATTCGAGCAGCGTCGGGGAGCCCTGGGTTCGATTCCCAGATTACGCATCTCTTTTGCCGTTTCTACGTCTTGTGCATCTGTTTCTTTTTTGAAAATGTGGTATTCCGACCACTAACTATGCTACCTACTCTGGAAGGAATTGCATACATCAAGCGCGTGCCGTCATATCTTTCTCCTCATGCTGTGTACCTTGAATCTTCTCTTCATCGAGAGTTCGCTCTCCAAGACCAATGTCTGCCTCGTAGAAAACGTCAACCACCTTCTTGTAAGAGGGGACAAAGTTGACAGCAATGGGATATGACCAGGCTGCGACGAAAAACATCATGGGTACAACCATCGAGATACCAACGTCATGCATATCTGCAACAGCTCCTGTCAGGGGAGGCACACAGGCACCGCCAATAACACCAGCAATGATGAAACCACTTCCTCGCTTAGTATGGCGACCAAGACCTCTCATACCTAAAGCAACAATGGTAGGGAAGCAGATAGACTCGAAAAAGAGAACGATATAGAGGAATGATACACCAGCTGTTCCGTGATGGACGATAGGCGGTCCGATAAAGACAATGCACATAGTCAAGAACACGAAGAACACCTTTCGCGGCTTGCAGAACTTCATGAGAAACGTTCCGAAGAAACGCCCGACGGTAAAGGCTGCTTGTGCGCCGGCAAAGAGCTTAGCTCCCATTGAGTCTGATGTTCCTTTGCGCATCTCAGTCGCGTAGTTGATGAAGAAACTCGCGATAGCAACTTGCGCGCCGGTATAACAGAACTGAGCGAATGAAGCATGGAAGAGCTTATACTGTTTATAGAAGGGTTTATCATCGGCTTCCGAATGTGTCTCTTGAGCTTGCAAGGCCATGTCTGGAAATTGTTAGTGATGGTAGTACCGGTGCAGGGGATTCGACGAACCAGCGTCGGTGATTTCTGGAATCTTGGAGACGTAGAAGAGGCACGCCAGGATCAAGACGAAGACGGCAATGGAGAGGTAGACCCATTGCACGTTGGCGAGCGCTGCGTTATCGTCAAGATTGTTGAAGAACACATATGAGCCGAGGACGGGAGCAATGACGGTGCCGATACCGTTGAAGGCTTGGGAGATGTTGATGCGAATTTCCGAGTATCGAGGAGGACCGCAAACTATAGATGTCAGAGACGGATACAAACTGAGGACGAGTCAACATACCAGTGATGAATGGGTTAGCAGCAGTCTCAAGAGAACCAAGTCCGTTTCCGATGATGAAGATGGACATGCAAAACCCAGCAAACGACTTTGCCTTGATACACGGAATAGCAATCAACGCGCCAACAGCATACAAGCAAAGACCCCAGATGAACACAGCCTTGTACGAATAATGACGAAGGATCCACGCAGCGTGTCCCAGCGACGCAAGAGGATAAGCACTGAAACCTCTATCAGCTCTACTACAATACTCGTCGATAGTGGTGTACATACCCAAAGTACGCAGCCTGAAGACCTGCCGATCGCGCACGATCGATATGCAGCACCTTTTGAAAGTGCTTGTTCAGCGTATCAAGGAGTCCATAACTGAAACCCCAGAGGAAGAAGAGAACAGTAACAAGCGCAATAGGCCAGATGGATTCTCGCAAGGTGAGCTCCGCTGCCTTGGTGACTTTCTTATCCGAGACCTTGAGCGATCTCTCCTTGAAGAACTTTTTGGCGCCCATGATGAATGTATTACGAGGGGGAAAAAAAGGAAGAACTACAGTTTTGAGGAGGCGAAAGGGGAACGAGCAAGCTATTTACAGTTTTCTTTTATCGGCTCGAGCAGCCCCGAGCAAGGGGGCGGGCGTCACACATTGACCGTCATCGAAAGTGTGGCATCACGGTTCTCCTGCGCTGTAACCTCATCAGGGAAAAGGCTCCAGTAGCTTGAGTATGTTTGTTGGAGAAGAAACCTGGGGATTTGCGGGGGAAGGGGGAAAGGGGTCTGGAATGGGTTTAGTTGATGGAGTGATAAGCATGGTTTATGGTTGTTTTTGGTCGGGGACATGATTCAGGTTTTCGGACTATCCATGATGATCGTTGCAATGATGGACCGAGTGGGAGGGGATGTGGGCTGAAGATGCATTGGGTGACACTTCTAGAAGAGTTTGTAGAGATACCTAAGCGTTACTCTAAAGTCTAGAGCTTTGACAAAGGGAGATGTGTAGTAATAAATATTGCTGATAAGTGATGTTGTTCATGCATACCGACCAATTACTCCAACTTTCACAAGGCATTCATCTGCCGAACGTGGCTGGCAATAGCGTCAATTCCCAACGGCACTCTCCCTCGGCAAGTCCCCGTCTATTCCTCTTAGTTAAATTACAATCTCCTCCTTGACTTCAATCCCCAAGAACGAGGGGCAGAACGTCAAATGAAACACAAGAGCTAAATCCTCCGCTCGTGATACGCACGCAACTTACGTGCATAAAGCGCCTTCTTGTTACGGCCATTTCCATGTCTATCATCGGACTATTTTCCCTCTAGGCTCTCGGCTTGGTTAACCCACATGCCGAATGGTAATTTACCTGGGATGGCCAATCGCATTACTCTGTTGGTTGCGAGGAAGTTTGTTAAAGTGCTGTGTCTCAGGATGCGACGTGAGACAAGGGGACCTCAGGGCAGGGAGGAAGAAAACTTGGGACTTGGGAAGAGGATGCTAAAATCAATTTAGTAAAGAGCCCCCTAAACTTAGGCTAAAGTTGCCCAAATATTTTCCTCCTCTAGGATAGAGGTCTTAAGTTTTCTTACAGCCCTTAGGGGGACCTGAAGGTTTGACGTGGTGAATCGTTGGTTGAGGTGATGTTGTATCAGAATGCTACAAGTTCAAGTCTATTCACTCCCCTGACCATGATCGAGAAGCGTTCTAGACTTTGTCACTGTCACGTACGAGAACAGTCGTCTTATTCGCTCAGCATCACAAAGCCGACAGTACACCATGAACCTTCGTTACCTCTCTGTTTATTGTGATGTTGTGTGATATCTTAGATCGTCACATGGCTATATTCCGAGTGATCATGAAAGAGCAAGAAACCAGACCTCAGTAAAAGATATCCTAAACTCATCTAAAATCTATCACAAAGTTAGACCAAGTTACCTAAGTCTTTTTGTTAGGATTGAGATCCCCAGGGCGTATAGGTATAATATCCCCTTCTCATTACACACACCGGCGACATCTTGACAAGAAAGTCGATCCATTATCGTCTCTGGAAACGAACCGACGACGTCAGGTATCTGAACTCCATATTGGACTCATTCACTCAGTTCAACGGACAGACTGCACTCCCCTCAGTACAACAATTGGGAAGAGGCTACCTTCTTCCACGACAAAAGAACGAACCACTCTCCGATAAAGCTATGCCAAGCTTGATTACCGAGTTCAAGGTGGGTGCTTCTCTTTATTCATTGATTATAAATGCATAATTAATTCCATACTCAGAAAGCCAGCCAGCCCTACGCATACAGATCTGAACAAGGGGGTCGCGCAAGCCGCTCGTCGAGTTCTTGGAACTGAGAAAAATAAACGATTCGCCTATTCGAGCAAGCCTCCCATAATCGTGCCTTTTCTACATCCTCGAAAACTTCTAGTTGCAGATCAAACCCGACGACGATGATATCAACACCAAGGTCTGAGCAATCTTCACGCCAACGCAGGTGCATGCCAACTACACGGCTTGCACCCCAGAGACTGTTTCAACTATGTATTGGATACTTTGTCCCATATTGACATTCCGGGGAGTGAAGATAACGAGGAGGAACCGAGTGCAAACAAGGAGCTATCGGACTGGTTGAACGATCCAATCTTCAACGCGCGTTTACGCCGATGTGGTTACCGAGAAACACGGGCTCATTCTATCAAAATCCATCGATGATGCAATGACACGACTCAATAATGCAACCGATGTCAAACGCTCTCCGTGCCGTTTTGGAACGGCTGGCTTCAAGTCATGCGGGTTTACTCGCGAGTAACCAAGCATCCCTTTCCGGACAATTGGACTTCGCTATAGACGGTATTGAGAGAGGGTTTTCTGACTGAGAGCAGATGGCTGAATACGTTTCGCACTCGGGTCAAGCGGGAATACGTTATGGAAAGTAGGGTCCGATAGATGGATGCCATCAGCTTTCATCTTGCTTTGCTTCGATTCTGGACGAAGTCTGACTGCGATTTTCTCAAGCCTATCATCTTGATTATGGATGGAGCCAGCTATTTCACGAGGGATAACATTCGAGGATGGAATATCCCACCTGACAAGAGCCCATGGAAATGCGCAGAATACAGGCACACATGGAAATAGCAACGTAAAATCAATAATGAATCAATAGTTTCTAGTTATAACAGTCGGGATTGACATTAGACTCACTTACATACTTGGGCTTGATAACATCCACTCTGCTTTCTCATGATCACAAGCGTTGCAGATTGTGGGATAGATGGACAAGTGACGTTATCTGGGGATGAACATTCACGAATTCATGAATGAATAGCAATGAGAGGTTCGGGTATTAGATATATAATAATAGGAACATTTTAAATACAAAACTGCCGCATACGAGAAAAGTCGCCTTGTTCACTCAGCAACAATACTTTTGACCGTGAACATCTATTTGCACGGTAGAACACCAAATACAGAACATGAACCCTCATTCACTGACATGTTCAGCCAGCGCCGTCTCAAAATGCTACAAATTCATGATTTTTCCTTCCTAACAACTTCAACCATCTCAAGAACCTGGTGTTTCAACATACAAACTCCAAAGCAAGGTAAAGCAAGGAACTAACTAACCAACCGACATCATGCCTTCTATCCAGGAAAACAAGACCAACCTCATCGCTAAAGCGAAAAACATCGAGGAAACCCTCATCAACGTGTCCGCCGATGCCGCAACGATCGAGACTTGCTTCACTCTCATCGCCATGTCCCGCGGCACCCATGAAATCAAGCAACACTGCCAAACCTCCGGTTGCAACAAGTTAGTCAAGACCACTTTCTATTGTAGATCCTGTCAGGCTCGTGCTAGTGCTCGCGCTCGCGCTCGTTCTCACAAGCACCAGTACTCGACTCGATCCAAGGCTCGAAAAAACGAAGATCGAATTAATGCTGACTCGATATAGTCTGACAGGTGAGCTAGTAGTCCGGACTAAGAGACAGATGGCTGATCCATCGGCGTTTGAGAGAGGTAAGGAGTGGGAAACTCCAGGATTAATGGCTGCTTCACGAAAATGCATAGACAAAAGAACCTCCAAGTGAGTAAGTCGAACAAAAATAAAGTCTTTCTTTTAGCACGCGCTGTGTCAATAGCACAAGTGAATCTATCTCTAACCCAACCCCCCAAACTCCAAAACTATGTACCGTTCGCTCTTCGTCCACCTCTGGTACTCCTGTCGACATGTCTCTTAAGAACCTTCCTCGTCTCCACCAAACTCCTCTTATGCTTGCTCTTCGCCTTGCCCATCGTCATAAAGATATTCTTGTTACGCTGCTTCTCCCTATTACTCGTGCTCTTGCCCTGGGCCTGCATCTTGGACTTGCTGATAGCCCGTGTGCTCTTGTGCTCCTCGCGGTCTGGCTTGCCCTCCTTAGCAAGCGCGACACGCTCTTCCTTGGTGAGCTTGCGGAGACGCGCGGGCGCTTCGATCTGCTCCGCGGTGAGGCCGTCGTCGCGGTGGCGATTCTCTTCTTGCTGTCGCTTGCGGCGGTTGCCCATTGCTTTGTCGATGGAGGCCGACATGCGGAGCTCTTGGAGTTTGGCGAGATCGGCGGGTGTGAGGATGGTTGTGGTGGCGAGCTTGGAGATGCGGTCGATTTCAGCCTCCTTCTCCTCCAGAGCCTTCTTGGTCTTTTCGTCCATAACAGGCTCTTCGTCTGTCTTTTGCTTCTTTGACGCAGGCTCGTCTTCGTCATCCTCCTCATCGGAGGAATGATAGACATTAATCCAGTCACCAGACTCGCTGCTGTCATCAGAAGCAACCTCCCACTCATCGGATTTGTTTCCCTCGTCCTCTTCATCAGTAGCAGCATCCTCGGGAAGACCTCTGGCAAGTCGCTTCTTCTTCTTTTCCTCCTCCTTCCACTTCTCCAAAAGCTCCAGACCTTCAATACCGCCGACATCCTCCTCACCAAACTTACGCTGGGCCTGGAAACCAGCCTTCAGGTTGATAGTGGCGTTCTTACCACGGTCTCGCTTCTTCAGAAGCTCGGCACCAACCTCTCGGTACAGTGACAAAAGACCCTTGGCAGCCATCATGACACCCTTGTCCTTGCTCTTGCGGTACTGGACCAAATCTTGTAATAGAGTATCAGTCATAGCCAGGGGTTGACGGGCGCAAATCTCGCGAATAGAGTTCAGGCCAGCAGCTGCGACCTCAGCGGCCGAAGCTTCTGAAACGAACTCGTTTGCGATTTTCTGAATCAGGGGCTCCAGCACATCGGGAGGCACCAAGTTATGGACTGCCTGCGCCAATGAAGCTAGAAAAGAAGTAACAGACTGTTGTCGAGGAGTAAGGAACTTGATGAACCAGGAGTAGAGCGCCACAATAGTCAACTTGTGCAGACCAACAAGTCGGGTGACGAGTTGTGTTACTAGAATCTTCGTGTCGAGAGATAGTTTCGCCTTGGTGTTTTGTAGATGTTTCGAAAATAGCTCCTCAGCAAAGTTCTGAGGGTCGTGAAGGAGGTGAAGA